GAGCGCTTCACCATCGCCAAAATCTGCGCCGATGTGGGCGCCGTGGCATCTACTCTCCGACTGCGGACAACTGCTCGTAGCATTTTGACCAGATCATCGCTTAGCTGCGTAGCCTGTGCCACTTGAAATTTATGGTCACGTGCTTGCCTGGTAAAACCGCCTTGAGTACATGAGGGGGTCGACCAATAGAAGGGCGATTGCGACGATCGAGGTGCTCGTCCCGAACTATGCTTCTCAACTTGCGCCATCCTGCTGTCGTGGCGTGCCTTCTACTTGCGAGCTCTGGCCCCAGGGAACCTGCGTCGTCGAGGCCAGCTCCTAGAGTGCATTGCCTGACTGCATGCAAACTGTTTGGCCCATGCAGCTTCGAAGCGAAGTTAATGGCCCCGTCCCAGCTGCGCCACATAACGTACGTTTGACTATGTCGGAACCCTTTCCCCTGAGCAGGAACATGACAGCTGTTCACCCCTTGGCTGCGCACAACCTGATGCCCCTGGGGCCGACAGCGCCGAAGATGATGGCGGTGGCAAGTGGCGCCAGCAGGAGTAGTGTATCTGGCTTACCCAAAAACGTGGGCATGACATCGTCAAAGAAGGCCGTGCCCATCGTGTGCAACGTGTATGCTGATGGTACTTCGGGCCTGATGTGTTCGCTCATTGACCCGCTGCTCGCCCGTGGCGCTCGAAGATCCACTCAGAGTTTCGCTGGGGCGGTCTGAGCTTCGCGAGTGACCAAGGACGCCGCGAAGTCGTAGATCTGGTCTCCTAGCTGCTGGCCTGGGCCAGAACCCAGTCGAGGACATGCCGCGCAGGGGCCTCTGGGGACCGCAAACCAATTAGACTGGTCAGCGTCGGCAACTTGAGCGCGGGGCCTCCGCGGGGACTCAGGGGCCTGCATGGGGGGCCGTGCTGCTGGATGTGCTGTTCCAACTCGTCCATGGCCTCTGGTGTTAATCCAGATTGGCGGAGGATGTTGGCGACGGCTTCGTCCGACGCGCCCGTCTCGAATATGGGCACTCTGACTGCCCTGTAAAATGCCCTGACCGCGTTCGCGGGCAGAAAAATTGCCGACTGGCCCGCGGCGACCCCCAGCTGCTGAAAAAGACGAAGCTCAACCGCGGCAAAGTCCGCGCCTCCACGGGCGACGCCGCCGTGCTGTCTAGGCCCTGCGAGCGGGGGGGGGCGCGGGGCAAGGTCGGGGCGCGCGAGACCGAGACTGCGACGTCGTTTCCGGAGCTGCGACGACCCAGGGGCCCGTCGATAGTTCAGCCTTGAAGATGGGCCCTTCTTGAATAAGGGCCAGTAGTAACCTCCTTTCCACTGCGGGGGCTCCTCCGCTCTGAGTTGAGCATTGAGGGGAAGCGGGCGCAGCGGAGGCGCGATGTCTAAAACGAGCTTGCGCGCCATGTTGCCAGTGAAACCGTCTGGGCCCGCAGCTGATGGCCTTGCGCGATTGAGGCAGCGTGTAACCTGCGCTAGGGTGTAGACCTTCCGGAACGAAGGGGGCCTTGTCCAAGAAAGCCTGGGATAACTGCTGGATCTCCTTTGCAAACCACTCGAGGTCCTGGAAAGGGATGGCTGGGCCTGCCTCAGTGCTTGCAGAATGCTGCGTCCACGTGTCGGCTGCCTGCGTCTCCGACTGGATAAGCTCGCCGTCGAATCCGAGTAAGATAAATAATGCGCGCTGCCTACCCTTCTTCTTGGATTCAGCTCGTATCGCGCGTAAACGTCGAAAGCCTGCAGACGATCGCGCCTTGACCACTCGCTGGTGATTTATTTGGCGTTTTGATGTTTGTGTGCCCTCGCATCTAAACGAAGCCGCATGTTGACCACAACGGTAGATAGGCTTAGGCACGCGCAACTCATGACCTGGGGCACCTTGGCCCCAGTGGTAAGCTGGGTGAAGATGTCCTGGAAGTTCCCCTCAGAGATCCTGCCGATGAAACTCAACAGCTCGAATCGACGGAGCCTGCTCCCAGGGTGTTCCAGGTATTGCTTCCTGGAACGTCCTGGGCATGCGGAGCGTAGTCCTGAAGGGCATTGCTAAACTTCGAAACACGCGCGCCATGCCACATCGTCTCGATTGTTGCGTAGTGCTGAATCCAGTTGGTCCGTAAGCTCAGATTCGTGTTCGAGTCTGAGCCTCGGCATCGCTTCCTTGTATCGTCGTGTACACTGTCGTAAGTATCGGACGCTCTCGAGGTCGCCATCCACATTGTCACGCGATGCTGTGCGAGCCCGTAGTGCTGCCTCACGTTCACGTGCCAGTCGTGGATATCATTCGGGCCGGTCCTTTCTGCTTGTAGAGTATCGTGCCTGCGCGCACTGCTGGAGAGTGGTAACCAATTCCATCCGGGAAGATTCTGGAGTGTGCGATCTCATCCAAGCCGCTGCCTCGGTGCAGCCATTCGCAGTAAGCTTCGCCTCGAAGGCCTGCTCCACTTCGGCTCTGAACTGCTCCGCCCGTTCCCCATTCTTCGTGGCCTTGCTGAGTGAGAAGAAATCCCAGGAAATAGTGCTTTGTCGTGGCGCCGAACACGTGGGCTGGTAGTCCAGCCCCGCGACGATAATCATGATCCAGAATGGCCACACTCGGGATCGCTTGTACACATCGTGTGAGGTTGTAGCCAATCGCGCGCCGCTGAACCCGAACGAGCCACGGCGCCAATATCGCCAAGTGGTCGATGCAGCTCGCGCTCTTGTGCCCATGATAGGTAGGTCTGCACAGGAAGAAGCTTGTCACCGCCGCCATGTTGCTGTCCTCAGTCCATTCACGATAGGAAGTGCCCGTCATATGCTCCAAGCAAGGGCCCGATGCTACAGCAGGCCGCCGCATGAGTGGATGCCCATCCCGTCATTCAGGTCCGTGGGCGCTATGATGGTGCTCCGATTCGGCATGCCCTCCGTGATGCTCATCAACGCCTCCGTCATCTTGCGCGCCGTGGTCTCATACCTTGGGATACCGCGCGCCTCCGTGCACCTGGGAGGAAAGTAGCTCGCGATCAGGGTGAAGCCGAACTGTGAAGATGTCACTCGTACGGCTCCCAGGCGTCCGTGTAACGAACTGTGTGTGTGTTCCAGAAATGTTGAAACTTAGTCAGACGAAAGCGTCGTCGATTGAGCCACATCTCGACTCTACAGCTTTTGTTCGCAAGGCGCCCACGCCCGCTTCCCCATCCAAACTTCAATATCATGAAATGCTCGTGATAAAGCATATCGTGGTACGTGGGGTGGTCATTATTCTTCTTGGCGGTCGTGCATGAGAGAAAAACAATGTCCGCGAATTGCACCTGTTGTGCAACCTCCAGGCGTCTGCCATAATCTGAACGAGACATGGGGTTCCATTGCACGATGTTCATCAGAGTGGCCACGCACCGCTGTGCCGAAAAGGAATTTTGTTGTTAGAAAAAAGGCTGTGGGCGGGAGCGAACGGGCCCTCATGCCCCTAGAACCTCGGGCCAGGGTTTGACGCTGATGGTGATGATGATGACGATGGTGATGATGACGGGAGGAGAGAGGAAGGGGGTGGAGGAGGAGGCGGAGGAGGAGGAGGAGGAGGAGGAGGAGGAGGAAGGGGGGAGAGGAACGCGGGGCGACGTCTCTTCAACACGAGGACCCAACACCACAAGATGGTTGGGGAAAACATGCGTAAAGCGGGCAACAACAAAACAACCGCGGCATCAAACGCGCCCTGACAACATTGAGGCAGTCATCTGGGGCAGACCCTGGTTGGCCTGAAGGAGGAGGAGGAGGAGGAGAAGGGAGGGAGGGAGGGAGGGAGGGAGGGAGGAGGAGGAGGAGGAGGCATAGGAGGAAAGCGGAGGAACCAGAGGCAGAGGAAGGGGACGAGGAATGGGATCGAGCAATGAAACACATGGGCGCTCTCGTCGCTTTTTCCGTACTCCTGGAGATCTCATGGCCTTCTGGGGATATCCCGAGATCCCTCCGCTTCAGTTCCCATGCCTTCCCGTGCCTCGTCTTCTGACCTCGTGATCATACTCCTCCTCTCCCCCGTCTTCCCCTCTGCGGCTGCTCACTCTGAGTGGTGCCTCCTCTCTTCCCTGGCCGCGCTACCTACGTAAGCTTGTCAGTCGCCCCCGCGTATTTTCGGCGGTGATCAAACCTCCCTTTAGTAGACATCCCCTTAGAGAAAACGGCCTGGGACCGAAACCGACGGACCAGGACCCGCAAACATCACGGCCGCGACGCCCTCTCGCGAACCGAAAACGGCCGATTCCTTCATCGCCGTGTCAGGGTAAGAAGTCTATCCGCCTCCGATATTTCTGCTTCGTTCGCACCGCGTCATTCCCAAACAATGTTGTTGTAACCCCCTGCTACCCAGACCTTCGGCGGGCTGTTTTTTTGTCTCGGCCCGTCGGCCTCGACACCTTCTGAGCGGTGCGTTCTGGCCGCTACGTTTCCAGGCAATCCAGCTGTGGCAGCGAAGGCGCCCACGCAGGCACAGAAGAGGTCGAAATCTGGCAAATGATGGCTGTCGTCATCATGGTGGTCGTCGTGATCATCGGAATCGCCGTCGCGACCGCCGCCGTCGTCGTCGCTATCGCTGTCGTCGTCGGCGCTATCGTCACACTATCGTAGGTATCATTCTCGTCGTCGCCGCCGCCGACGTCGTCTTGATGGTCGTGGTCGTGGTCGTGGTGGTGGTGGGGGAGGAGGAGGAGAAGAAGGAGGAGGAGGAGGAGGGAGGAGGAGGAGGAGTAGGAGGAGGAGGAGGAGGAGGAGGAGGAGAGGAAGAGGAAGGAGGAGGAGGGGGAAGGGGGAGGGGGGGGAAGGGGGGGGGGGAGGGGGAAGGGGGAGGGAAAGGGAGGGGGAGGAGGGGGAGAAGGAGGGGAGAGGAGGAGGAGGAGAGAGGAGGAGGAAAGGGAGGAAGAGGAGGGGAGGAGGAGGAGGAGGAGGAGGAGGAGGTGATCGCCATCGCGGTGGTGGTCGTCGCCCGCGAGAGCGGCGGCGCAGCGCGCGGGTGCGGGCGGAGGGGGGCGCCTCGCGGGCGGCCCCGCTCCAGGACTTCGTAGAGCCGGCGCATGTGGGCGGGCGGCACCAGCTGCAGGCGACGGGGGAGTAGCCTCCTCATCCTTTGTCTGCTCGTCGTCCTCCTCCTCCTCCATCCTCCTCCTCTTCCTCTTCCTCATCCTTCCGCCTCCTAGCGCGCTCGCAATGTCTCCGATGCCTGGTGCGCTCAGCCGGCTGGGCGCCGCATCGCCGAGGCGGCGGGCCGCGGAACCCTCCCCGCGGCGCGGCGGCGTGGCTCGTGAATGCCCACGCCTGCGAGGGTCCCGTGGGGGTCCACTGAGCTGAGTGCCCCTTCGGTCTGACCGCCGCGCCTGTGCAGCGGCCGAGTCCGGTGACGTCGGTCGTAGTTGGCGGCGGCGGCACTGTGTAGCAAAGCGGCGGAATGATGTCGCCGCTTTGCGTCGGCCACGGCGTCCCTCGGAAAGTTGTGGAGGCCCACAGCTTCGGTGGGGAGCTCGTCGGCGCGGCGGTTGAAGTACTCGGGGGCACTGTTGATACCTTCCTCCCTCAACAGACTTTCCTTCGCCACGCGGAAAGAATCAGGCTTTCCCTGGAAGACTCGATGGACACGGGTCCAGAGGTTGGCCTCCCCATCGCTCGCTGTCCACAGCTATCCGCTTCGAAAGCATACTGGAAGGTCTACGTAGCCCAATGCTTTCTCGAGTGGCCGAAAAATATCATACTACGGAGGTTCATCTTGTCCGTGGACGAATTCGACCTTGGCCGCTAGCTTTGAGGAAGCGGCTCGCTTTCGGACGCTCTGCTTCTCTCTTGCAAGCCGCCACTTTCTCCAAAACTGTTCTGATTGTCGTCTCATCCCGAAACATGGGCTTAGGCGACGGCAAGCTCAACAACCCTTCTCACGTCTTCCTCTTCCAGCCGCCCAAATGTTTCCTTGCGTGCGGAGGTTCGAAACTCTGGAGGTCTCGGGAGGTCTTGGATGTTCCTCTTGACTCTTCCTGTTGCTGCGCCTCCTCGTCGGCCCCTCATACACGGGGGGAGGAGAAGTCATTATTGCCTCAACGGTCAGACGCAACACCAGCGTGACCGCACTGGTCCCCAGAGGCTCCTGGAGGCCCCCAGAAGCACAACGAATGTCAAAAGGAGAACAACAACTTCTCGAGTCCTGATCCTTCTTTTCGATCTTCGATCCTTCGAGCTGGCGGCGCGCAGTTCCCGATCCTGGACCCTCCTCCTCGAACGCGCGGTCTCCTCCTCGAAAGCACGGACTGGAGGCCTGCGAGGGTCGGAGGTTGCCAGAAGTGATCCTGACTCAGGGTGTCCCAAACTTTTCTGGGGCCACCTGGATCGCCGGATCGCCCACACCTACGGGGGAAGGCTGGGGGTGGGACACCGGCTCAGGGGGGGAAAACAACGAGCTGGACTCGGCGATAGATCGCCGATAACATGGCGGCAGGCCCTCGACCGCGAATTCGCCTTTTTTCTGGGCGGAGTGGACTGTTGGGCCACTATCGACGATGAATTGGCGATTGGGGGTCGACGCACCCATCCCTGAACCTGTCCTCCACCTAACGTTGCCTCTGAAGTCCTTCCTTGTCCTCCTCCCCCGCCCCCCCTCCTGTTTTTTCCTGGCCTGCTTCTGGGGTGCGTTCTGACCAGGACTTCGAGGCGTATCCAGTTGTGGCGACGAAGGAAGCGTGGCGGCGTCTGTATCTTCTCCTCCTCAGAGCTTAGCCGTACTTCACAGCGTGTACGGCAAGTGCGTGTCGTGCCGACCCTGGCGTTGGTTCCTGACACCGCTGGGACCGTTCAACCTTGAACGATCGGCCAAATCCCAAACGTCGGATCTTCCAACATCGACCAATTCTCGGTCGCCGGCGGCGTTCAACGTTGAACGCCCGTAGCGGGGTCGCCGTCGCAGGCACGCCAGCAGGGTTTGCACGTACATTCTGTCGTGCGGCACTCCTGCCTTTGCGCTGCGGAGCGCCGCCTGGCTGCTGGACTGGGGCCCCCGTGGGCCTCGCGAAGGGTGCTCTGGAAGTCATCCGGGCCTCCCCGGAACTAAGACGAAGCCCAAATTGGGACAACATCGGATCGGGATCAATTGGGGAGGCTGCATCGGGCCCCCCGGCCGTCTCAGAGCGTTGCGGAACGCTCTGAGAGCGTTCCAGAACGCTCTGGAGCGATCTATTCTGTTCCTAAGCAAGCTTCTCGGACGCCCGCCGGGCTTCTGAGAAGCCGCCTCACGTGGGCACCATGGAAGCCCCTGGGCCTTTCTAAGAATGCCACTGCCTGCAAAGAAGCCCCCCGTCCTTCGGACGTCTGGCCTTATGCCGTTTGTTGCGCTCTCGTGCTTGTCGGCGCGCGCCCACGGTGGCGCAGAGAGGGACGGCCTCCTAAAAAGGCGGGAAGGGCTTCAAGAAAGCAAATGGCTTCTCAGAAGCCCTCCCGGCTTCTTGCATCAGAATTATTGCAGCCATCCGCGCGCACGTAAAGACTGCCTCTGCCTTCTGAGCAGCCCTCCGCGCCTTCTGAGCAGGCCGTCCCCCTCGGGCCCACCCCCCCTTCGTGCGTGCCGCCGACCCCTCCCTCCCGAGGACAGCGGGCGGAGCCTCGTCCCTCAGGCCGCTCAGGAGGCAACACCCCCTTCGGAGAGCGGCCGAGTCGGCGGCGCGGGGAGGGCCTCCTCCTCCGCCTCCTCCTCCACGCCCTCTCCGCCTCATCGTCCTCCTCCCCCCACGTCTTCCTCCTCCCGCTCCTCCCCTTCCTCCTCCTCCCCCTCCTCCCCCCGCCTCCTCCTCCTCCTCCTCCTCCTCCTTCCCCTCCTCCTCCTCAGTTCAGAGCAGCGTCGCCGCGGCGGGCATCAGATAGTGTTTTTCCTCCTCCCCATGGCAAGCATGCCGAGGCGGAAGAACATTATCTTAACCGCATTCAATTGCGAGAAACGCTGAACATAACGCTCTCCTCAAGCGGATGGAGCGCCTGATTGGGGCCACGACACAAGTGAGGGGTGTGCCGAAATGGGCGGGAGGGACCACATGCGACACCCTGCCACTGTTGAGCTCCTCATGGTGCGACGAGACGTATGGGGGGTGGGCATGGGCGAGGAGGGTTGCATGCGATACCCTGCCGCTGAGGTCTTCGGTGGAGCTCCCAATGGAAGGGGTGTGCCGAATTCGGCGGGGGGCCGCGTGCGATATCCTGCCACTGAGGCCTTTGGTGGAGCTCCATGCGGGGCCACGAAGCGTGCGAGGGGTGTGCCGAAGTGGGCGGGGGGACCGCGCGCACGATCCTGCCACGGAGGCCTTCGGCGAAGCTCCACGTGTGTGGGGCCCAAAAGCCAATGAGGGGTGTGCCGAACCTGGCGGGGGGGCCGTGTGCACGGCCCTGCCACTGAGGCCTTCGGTGACGCTCCCCGCAGGGTGACGGAACGTGTGAGGGGTGTGCCGAATTGGGCGCGGGGACCGCACGCCATGCCTTGCCATTGAAGCCTTCGGTGGAGCTCCCCGTGGAGCCACTAAGCACGCGAAGGGTACGCCGAAGTGCAGACGAAGAGGAGCGGAAGGTGAGGTGAGACGCGGGGCGCTGATGGGGAGAATGACATCGCCGCACGCTTTTGGGACCCAGGAGGCCCCCAGTTGCCCGAGACATCCTCAGAGAACGACCCACATCCAGCACCGTGCGCTCGCTCGCCCCGAATCGTCTCCGTGACTCGCCCGACGGTGTGGTCACCGCACCGTCTTGGACGAACGCGGGGGGAGGCGGAACGGAACGCTCGCTCGGGCGATCGCCTGCGCCCCTTCGGGGCGTCGCGTGCGAGGCCGTGGCCTCGCCAGAGTGGCCGGTGGGCTGCGGGTTCGCTCAGATTATCCCGGCAAAGCAACCTAACAGCGATGTGTAGGAGCATATCTGGAAGCATTCCCCTTAAGATTCAGATAAGAATCCTGTTGTAGAATTCTGCTGTTCTCGCAGTCGTGGTCGCATTCGCGATGGCAGTCGCAGTGGCAACAGCAGTCGCAGTCACAGCCTCAGCCTCAGCCTGCCTCAGCCTCAGCCTCAGCCTGCCTCAGCCTCAGCCTGCCTCAGCCTCGCCCTCAGCCTGCTTCAGCCTCAACATCAGTCTGCCTTCAGCCTCGGCCTCAGCCTGCCTCAGCCTCACCCTCAGCCTGCATCAGCCTCAGCCTGCCTCAGCCTCGCCCTCAGCCTGCTTCAGCCTCAACATCAGTCTGCCTTCAGCCTCGGCCTCAGCCTGCCTCAGCCTCACCCTGCCTCATCAGCCTCAGCCTCAGCCTCAGCCAGCCTGCCTCAGCCTCAGCCTGCAGCCTCAGCCTCAGCCAGCCTCTCAGCCTCAGCCTCAGCCTGCATCAGCCTCAGCCTCAGCCACAGCCTGCCTCAGCATCAGCCTGCCTCAGCCTCAGCCTCAGCCTCAGCCTCAGCCTCAGCCTCAGCCTGCTTCAGCCTCAGCCTGAGTTGCCTGCAGCCTCGGCCTCAGCCTCAGCCTGCCTCAGCCTCAGCCTGCCTCAGCCTCAGCCTCAGCCTCAGCCTGCCTCAGCCTCAGCCTGCCTCAGCCTCAGCCTCAGCCTGCCTCAGCCTCAGCCTCAGCCTCTGCCTCAGCCTCAGCCTCGGCCTCAGCCTCAGCCTGCCTCAGCCTCAGCCTGCCTCAGCCTCAGCCTCAGCCTCAGCCTGCCTCAGCATCAGCCTGCCTCAGCCTCAGCCTCAGCCTGCCTCAGCCTCAGCCTCAGCCTGCTTCAGCCTCAGCCTCAGTCTGCCTTCAGCCTCGGCCTCAGCCTCAGCCTGCCTCAGCCTCGGCCTGCATCAGCCTCAGCCTCAGCCTCAGCCTGCCTCAGCATCAGCCTGCCTCAGCCTCAGCCTCAGCCTGCCTCAGCCTCAGCCTCAGCCTGCTTCAGCCTCAGCCTCAGTCTGCCTTCAGCCTCGGCCTCAGCCTCAGCCTGCCTCAGCCTCAGCCTGCATCAGCCTCAGCCTCAGCCTCAGCCTGCCTCAGCATCAGCCTGCCTCAGCCTCAGCCTCAGCCTGCCTCAGCCTCAGCCTCAGCCTGCTTCAGCCTCAGCCTCAGTCTGCCTTCAGCCTTGGCCTCAGCCTCAGCCTGCCTCAGCCTCAGCCTGCATCAGCCTCAGCCTCAGCCTCAGCCTGCCTCAGCATCAGCCTGCCTCAGCCTCAGCCTCAGCCTGCCTCAGCCTCAGCCTCAGCCTGCTTCAGCCTCAGCCTCAGTCTGCCTTCAGCCTCGGCCTCGGCCTCAGCCTGCCTCAGCCTCAGCCTGCATCAGCCTCAGCCTCAGCCTCAGCCTGCCTCAGCATCAGCCTGCCTCAGCCTCAGCCTCAGCCTGCCTCAGCCTCAGCCTCAGCCTGCTTCAGCCTCAGCCTCAGTCTGCCTTCAGCCTCGTCCTCAGCTTCAGTCTGCCTTCAGCCTCAGCCTGCCTCAGCCTCAGCATCAGCCTGCCTCAGCATTCAAAGTGTGGCCCGGGAATGGAGTTCTGGGAACTCGAAGAACACGAAGTGGCCTACAGTTGGCTCCGGGCATTCAAAATCATGCCCAGGAATGGAGTTCTGGGAACTCGAAGACCACGAAGTGGCCTACAGTTGGCTCCGGGCATCCAAAATCTGGCCCGGGAATGGAGTTCTGGGAACTCGAAGACCACGAAGTGGCCTACAGTTGGCTCCGGGCATTCAAAATGTGGCCCGGGAATGGAGTTCTGGGAACTCGAAGAGCACGAAGTGGCCTACAGTTGGCTCCGGGCATTCAGAATGTGGCCCGGGAATGGAGTTCTGGGAGGTCGAAGAGCACGAAGTGTGTGACTGTATGCGAAAAACGATCCCCCCCGGCAATCCCCAACGGCCCCCCAACGGCCCCCAACGGCTGCCCAGACCCCCCTGTGGAGTAATGTGCTGCTCTCTTTTTAGCCCATTAGAAACCTATCAGTCTTCGCTGTTAGGTAAATTATCCCGGCAAAGCAACCTAACAGCGATGTGTAGAAGCATATCTGAAAGCATTCCCCTTAAGATTCAGATGAAAATCCAGTTGTAGAATTCTGCTGTTCTCGCAGTCGTAGTCGCATTCGCGATGACAGTCGCAGCGGCAACGGCAGTCGCAGTCACAGCCTCAGCCTCAGCCTGCCTCCTCCTCCTCCTCTTTCTCCTGCTCCTCCTCCTCCTCCTCCTCCTCCTCTTCCTCCTGCTCGTCCTCGTTCTCGTCCTCCTCGTCTTGCTCGTCCTCCTCCTCCTGGTGCTCTCTCCTCCTCCTCCTCCTCCTCCTCCTCCTCCTCCTCCTCCTCCTCCTGGTGGTCCTCGTTCTCCTCCTCCTGGTGCTCTCCCCCCCCCTCCTCCTCCTCGTCCTCCTCCTCCTCCTCCTCGTCCTCCTCCTCCTCTTCCTCCTCCTCCTCCTCCTCCTCCTCCTCCTCCTCCTGGTAGTCCTCCCCCTCCCCTCCTCCTCCTCCTCCTCCTCTTCCTGGTCGTCCTCGTTCTCGTCCTCCTCGTCTTGCTCGTCCTCCTCCTCCTGGTGTTCTCTCCTCCTCCTCCTCCCCTCCTCCTCCTCCTCCTCCTCCTCCTCCTCCTCCTCCTCCTCCTGGTACTCTCCCCCCCCCTCCTCCTCCTCCTCCTCGTCCTCGTCCTCCTCCTCCTCCTCCTCCTCCTCCTTCCTCTCCTCCTCCTCCTCCTCCTCCTCCTCCTCCTCCTGGTACTCCTCCCCCTCCCCTCCTCCTCCTCCTCCTCCTCCTCCTCCTTCCTGGTCGTCCTCCTCCTCCTGGTCGTCCTCCTCCTCCTGCTCGTCCTCCTCCTCCTCCTGCTCGTCCTTCTTCTCCTGCTTCTCCTGCTCCTCGTCCTGCTCCTGCTCGTCCTCGTCCTCCTGGTCTTGCTCGTCCTCCTCCTCGTCGTGCTCTTGCCCCTGCTGAAAATGTGGCCCAGGAATGGGAGTTCTGGGTGAAGTCGAAGAGCACGAAGTTGCCTACAGTTGGCTCCGGGCATTCAAAATGTGGCCCGGAATGGAGTTCTGGGACTCGAAGAGCACGAAGTGGCCTACAGTTGGCTCCGGGCATTCAAAATGTGGCCCGGGAATGGAGTTCTGGGAACTCGAAGAGCACGAAGTGTGTGACTGTTGCATCCGGCCCTCCAGAATGTGGCCCGGGAATGGAGTTCTGGGAACTCGAAGAGCACGATGTGTGTGACTGTTGCATACGGCCCTCCAGAATGTGGCCCGGGAATGGCGTTCTGGGATGTCGAAGAGCACGAAGTGTGTGACTGTTGCATCCGGTTATTCTAAATGTGGCCCGGGAATGGCGTTCTGGGATCTCGAAGAGCACGAAGTGTGTGACTGTTGCATCCGGGTATTGAGAATGTGGCCTGGGAATGGAGTTCTGGGAAGTCGAAGAGCACGAAGTGTGTGACTTTGGTGAAAAACGAGCCCGGCACCTGCCGCCCGGCAACTCCCAACACCTGCCCGGACCCCCCTGTGGAGTGATCTGCTGCTCTCTTTTGATCCCACTAGAAACCTATCAGTCTTCGCTGTTAGGTAAAATGTGTGGTAGGGCCCGAGGTGGCATTACGAGGAAAACTGCTCTGGACGGCCCGTTGGAACGCGCGGGGGGCCCAGGCATCCGACGTCGCTCTGCCTCGTCCTCCTCGTCCTCGTCCTCGTCCTCCTCTTCCTCCTCCTCCTCCCTCCTCCCAAATCCCTCGTCTTTCTTCCCTCCTCCCGCACAAATCCTCCTCTTCCCTGCTTCCTCCCTCCTTTCCTCCTTTCCTCTGCGACCGCCCTCTCCTCCTCCTCCCCCTCCTCCTCCTCCTCCTCCTCCTCCTCCTCCTCCTCCTCCTCCTCCTCCTCCTCCTCCTCCTCACTCCTCCTCCCCCTCCCCCTCCCCCTCCTCCTCCTCCTCCTCCTCCTCCTCCTCCTCCTCCTCCTCAGACACCCTACGCTGTACTTGTCACAACGTCGCTCTACATAAGCCTGGACCGCTTCCCGCGGGCCAACTTTTCATCCCGTGCTGTCTTTGGAAGGCCCCAGGGCCTGGTGGCCCACGGGAAAACCGATAATTGCCAGAACCTCTTGTTGTAGTGTTGTTGTTGTTCACGATGCGAGGTGTCAGGCGAGGATGAGGAAGTTTATTTTTGGATTCGGGTAAGGAACGCGCCCATGCTCCTCGGCGGATTTGCCTGGACCACAATGGACAAAGGGCTGATGGCAAGGCAGAGCTGCAGGGTGTGAAGAGCAACGAAATGAGGGGGGCGACGAGGATGGACGACGACGAGGACGACGGCGACCACCTCCGCAGACCCCTGAAACTCTAGAGGCCTGTCCCCCCCCTGGACGACACGACGACGACGACGATAGCGGCAACGGCGGCGGCGACGACGACGATGACGACACCGCCGCCAGGCCGAGGCCCGCGCCAGTCGCGGTGCCGCTGCGCGACGAACTCGAGCCGCTCCTCCGCCCTCCACTCGTCGAGGAGGATCGGCCACCTGTCGTGGCGTCATGGCCCGCAAGGAGATGAGGACCATCCTCCTCCCCCTCCTCCCCCTCCTACTCATCCTCCCCTTCCCCCTTCTCCCCTTCATCTCCCTCCTTTTCCTCCTCCTCCCCCTCCTCTATGTCCTCTAGGTCCTTGGCACACCACGTCCCGCTGCTGCAACACGCGGCAGAACAATGGGGAATGAACACCGATCGGCACACCTAGAGGGATCACGCTCGCAAGAAAAGGAAACGCCCTCCGAATTCCAAGCCTGAATATGGATCGATCCCACCTTTTGAGGACTCTGCGAGTGGCTCGCAGCCTCATTCTTAGGCCCGTTGCCACACGGTTTAGCGAGGAGGACCTCATCCTCCTCCTCCTCCTCCTCCTCCCACTCAAGCACTCTGGCTCGAGCACCCGTTTTGGAGCACTCGCAATCCGCCCTGCGCCTCCCCGCGGCGATTGGGGGGTGTCGGACCCGCCTTCCCTCCGAGGATAGCAGTTGCCGATAGCGAACGCAAGGCAGCCATGTTTCGAGCTTGGAGCACCTGCGCGTGCTGTCACGCGTGCGAATACAGCGATGTGTTGCAAACTTGCAACAATCAATGCTCGAAGTGTCGGGGGGGCGTCAAGCTGTATAGGCCTACGCAGCACGAATAAGGACCAACCCGTTGGCGATCAAGACAATCAATTGGCTGCGGCGAAAAAACAATGGCGCAACAGGCAGCAGCAATGCCAACCCAGCGGATGTGGAACATTTGTTTACTTCCCTTCTTTCAGAGACCAGATACCTAAACACCAATGTATTCTTGAAGCAGCTAGTCGCGGTGCGCAGCACATTTCAGGCCGTCAAGAAGGCCGACGGCGCGCTGCGCGACGCCCAAACCAAGCACGACCAGGCCATCAACCAGGTAGTCAAGCTGCGGGAGAACCTGCAGAAACTGAAGCAAAGGCGGCCGAAACAACGCTCGTACTGGCCCGGGCTCCGGCTGCCAAGAAATTGGCGATCGCCACGCTGGCGAAAAGGTAGGGCGTAGGGACTGCCGACATCTCGTCGAACACGGACCAGTCCAGCATGTTCGATCTCACTTCGGGTGAACAGTTGTTCAACGCCCTCGACGAGTACGGATGCGAGGCATCAGAGAAGCGAGATCTGCGTTTAATTCGGCGAGCGCAGCGCGAGGATCACAGAGTAGAAGCCCCGCGTGGAGCAGCTCAAGCAGATGGTCACCGACAGAATGGCCCAGCAGAGGAAGACTTCTGATAATGAAACAACGGCGGGCGCCGACGGCAACGGTGGCAACGCTGCGTCGGCGGCGCCTTCGGCTGCAGCAGCCTCCGTGCCGACGACCAGCCAGGAGGTTAGGGAGCAGGGCGTAACAGCTTCGGAGGCAACGATGGCGGCAGAAGTGAAGCGCATCTCGGACGTCAGATTCAAGGCGGCGGACATGGCCGAGACGATGGCGGCCGCACCCCAGGGCGGTGCTTCGCCCGCTATATGATCGAGAACGGTCGGATGCGAGCCTGCCGTTTCCACGCCGACCGCGACTGCACCTTCGCGACATGCTACTTCTACTTTGGGCTCCAGTTCGTCGAATGATCTTTTTTCCAAAGAACAAAGCCATGGGTGACGAGCAGGAGCTCGGGCGCAGCAATTCTTTTCTGTTCGGCAAGATTTCCTCTTGGGGTTCTAAGTCGCAAGTGCAGGCATGGGCTTCCGACTCCTCTCAGGCTGTTCGTAGTCAAAATCAGTTCGTGGGCGTCGCAGAGGCTCATCTGTCCCATCAGCAGCAGTTGAAGTGGCAGTCGCAGTTTCGGTGAGCAAAATTCAGGTTCCCCTTAAACGCTGCTCGCCCGAGTCAGTCTGATTCAGACCAGGTCACGGGCGAGGGCGGTGAAATTTCTGTAGCTCCAGGGCACAGGCAGGCACGCTACTTTGGCAACCCCAATGGTTACCAATATTTGTGCGAGGCGGGTCGTTCGATGGATCCGACCCTGTGATAATTCTCAGTGGGTGCCGGTGTTTAGTGATTGTGTACTCCAGTGTTTCCTCCTAAGGCTTCCGCGGGGTCAACGCTGGGCGGCTCTGTATGCTGGGTGCACTGCTAGCCTCCACCAACTCTCGTGGCTCTTCACCGGGGATGTCAACATTAACCCGCGTGATGTAGCTCGCTGTGGACTCGTTCTCAGGTTGGCGGGGTCGTTCCTTCGGACGTTGAACGCATGTGCGTCACTGGCGCGGGGAGCTCCCACATAGACTATCTCTTGCCTCGCGCTCGGCTTGTCCTCATGTGCTTCGCCTCTCCGCGGTGCTGGACTTCCCGCGGGGGGCGCGCAGCGGTTTGCATCTCAAGCTGGGAAGCGAGAGTATCAAATGGATCACGCGCTCTCTCGTCTAACCCAAGAAGCTTCCGCAAATGCAGCGCCCAAGTTAGACCCTTACACCCAGCCAAAATCGAAACATAAGAAGGAAGCCAATCAGTCTCGTCGCACATCATTCTAAACTAAGTTCAAGGAAGCTCGCGACAAGGTTTCCATGAATCGTCTCCAGGTCTCTCACGTCAGCGATCGCAGCTGCTGTCCAAGAGGCCCTCCAGGATTCTGGAGATCCTTGACAGTGCTCGCCTCAGGTGCTCGGGGCGAGGGGCCTGATCCTTGGGGCTCCGAGCCCAGCCAGCAGTCCGACGTTCAAAATGATGCGGCCCCATTTCCGGGTCCTTGCGATTTTCAGGAGGCAAGTGCGGGGTCCCGAGGTTTGATTGTCTCCAGTGACGCCCCAGCGTTTCTCATACTTCAGGCTGGTTGGAACTCACAGAAGGCCAACAGTGGCTTCGCCATGCAGGGCATCGTGGACGCTTGGCCCGTCGTTTTGTCGTCGGGTGCTTTTGCAGTGGGAGGGCCTCAGGCTACGCCGATCAGTGGTTTGCATAGCATCTGGGTCCGAGCTGTTGAGTCCTATCCCGACGCATCATGGGGAACTTCTTGGGCAAGAGGCTTCTGGAGCTGGTAGTCCGCAACTTCTCGTTCACCCTGTGCATGAAGCTGAACAAGTGCAAGAACTTCCTGTCATGGACCAAATGGCTAAGTGGTCGTCACGGCTTCGCGCAGCGGTATCATCGGCGCCGCGCTGGGAACAACGGCAGACAACAGATGGAACAGCTCGCTTCAGTAGCTCGTCGTCTATCTTAGGACACACCTGACGGAGTTCATAGAGCACTGATTCCTGGGGCGGCCAAACATTTCCAATTGGAACATTGGCTGCGCATGGCTGGCCGTGCACGCAATCTCAGCATTGAAAGTGACAGCAGCATGCATCTGCATCAGGTAAGATTGCGCAGCGTGCCCGCAGGCGAGCAGTGCCGGCGTCGATCAAGTCTTTTCAATATATTAGACTGTGCAGGAACCCTCGCTAGGCGATGTGCATTGGTGCTTGCGGGCGACCCCTCAAACTTCCAAGGGGCTAGAGGCATGCGGACATCGTTTTTCACCCCGCCGACATTGTATATACAAAGGTCAAGACATCTCATTCCTTGTGGGCACCAGATGTGCACGAACCCTGTGCTCTTGGACAAATTTGTGGAACTATCCGGGAGGCCGCTAGAATCGAGCAGCTGGTTCCTCTCACCGCTGATAACCTCCGACGCTCGGCTAAGCGCCTGACGTCTCTGGCTGGGTTGGGAATCGATCGCATCGCGCCCGTCGGTTTCGAACGGCTTCCCGAGGGCGACGCTGTCCGGGCTTGCTGGTACCCATGAGGCAATCGAGTCTGCGCTCGCGTGGCCGTGGCAACTTCCTGTTGCGTTGGGGCGGCTGCTTCCCCAGATGCTTCGGAGGGCAGCGTTATCGGGTTGATGGGCATGGTTACTCGTTTTTTTGGAATTTATAGCGGGACGAGCTTTCCCAGGAGGGGTCCGGGGGAACTAATCCAACATGGGATGTAGACATTGCGCGCAATTCCCCCCCCCCCCCGCCCCCCCTTGAGGCCTTCCTGGACATATTGGACGCCGACGTGGCGCGCAAATTGGAGGTGGCGCACGGAACCGCTCTCTTAGATGTAAAGAGTTTTTACGACACTCGCTTCGATAAGCTGGTAACCGCCGCTCTGAAACTCTTATTTTCACCGGTGCCCATGTTTTGCAGCTATAGCTGTGTGCTGCTCCTCGCATCCTCTCTCAATTTGGGGCACATTCTGTGGAATTTCAACCGACGCAACGCATTGTCCCAGGCCATTGAGATGGCGATGCCTCGCGCGCATCATGCTTGACCGCGTGGCCACCCTGCGCGCTTAGGTGGGGGAACGCATCCGGGTGGGCGATCTCATCTTGCAGCGTCGGGCCCCAGGAGGCTGGTTGAGGACAAGTTTGTCAGCGGCGTTCATGATGTCACGCACCTCTTCGCGCAAGAGAGTCTTGCGGTTGCTGCGTGCAAGAACGTGGCAACATACTCGGTTACCACCATCGTGAAGTCGGTTACTAGGCGTTTAAAGGCTCGTGGCATTGCCACTTCTTCCGTCTTGCAGACCACCTACCTCGGAATCGACGCATGTTTGGGGGCACTTCAGGCTCGCGCTACTCGTCAACGGGTGATTAAATCGGTTAAACAGAACAGAAAACATCGGCGCCTCGGTCGTGCTCGTAGGTGTTAACAGGTGTAACTCTCGGGACCTCAAGCTGGGGCCTCCTAAAGGTCTCAGGCATGCGGGGTCATCGGGGCCCACCTTCTCGCCGCGCGTCGTAGTCAGGGCGCCGCCGCAGGCAGTGACCATCGGGAGACGACTGTTACTGCGATTCTTGATCTGAAAACTCCAGAGATGGACCCAGATCTGCGTCTCCCCCTTCTCTGTCTTCAGCTGTGGCTGCAAGCTTAGATTCATCGCCCTCAATATAGGGCAAGCCTCTCGAGGGCACGCGTGGCTTCTACCATTGCGGCAACCTGCTTTTCTCGTCGGTCGTCGGACTGGGCAGATCTGAGGGCCAGTGGCTGGTTAGATCCATCAGTTGCTTCTATCGG